CCCTAGGCCCAGGGATCCAGCCCCTGGCAGGCCAGAGTCTCAGAAGTGCAATACCAGTTCTTACCACCTGGTGGTATCAGAGGACCTAAAATGACTGCCCGAGGCCAGGAAGCAGTGTGTTGTCTAGTAGTGGCTGGTGTGAAAGAGAAGGGGCTTGGTTCCTCAGGGTCTGAGAGATGGCGAGGTGGGGGTTTGTGGATAGGGCTGGGGGTCCTTGAGCACTACCCTTTCCTCAGCCTAGATCAAGTGACCCAGAGTCTTCCAACTACTATGGGAAGCCATCTCCAGCCCTAGTTTTCCCATCATGCATTGCTGTGACAGTGCCCCAGAGGGTGTCCCCTCCCGTGCAGCCCATCCCCATCCCTTACTTCAGCAGCTCAGACGTGAGGAACAGTTGATTCAATAGTAATAACATAATATGATAAAATAATTCTTGGCACTTATATAACAGTTACTATGGGCCAGAACCTATTCTAAGTACTTTTCACATGATACTGTGTTATGACTCTCTGAGGTAAGTCCTATTATTATCTCCACTTCACAGCGAGGAAACTAAGGCACAGAAAGATTAAATAACGTGTCCAACGTCACACAGCTAGTAAGTGGCAGAGTTGGGACTTAACGCAGGCAGTTTGGGTTCTAGATACAGATACTCCTGAGTTGGCGGCTGGAGGAAGGGCACAGATGTCTACCCTCCCACATGTTCTCCCCTGGAGGTGAGCAGACACACACTCAGGTTTTGCAGGAGGGAATCTGTGGAAAGTGAGCTTCCTGAAGAAAGCAGGGTACTGGGGAAGTGGTATCTGGCTGGATCCAGGGAATGGAAGACAAAAGGGCTACGGACTAAGAATCACACAGGACTGGGATGAGATTCAGAAAGCAGGGGCCCTCTTCTCTTCCTTGGGTCCTCAGTAGGTAGCCCACCTTTCTCCTGCCTGTCTCATGCCCATCTCTTCCACTGACAGGGTTTGTGGAGTCAGAGTTAAAGAAGCTTCTGGCAGTGCAGCGGGAGTCTCGCCTGTGGAAGATGGGTGACAAGGGGGGCCGGAAGCTGCTGACCCAGCCAGAGGTCACCCTGGAGGAGGCGGGCATTGTGGATGGCCAGGTAAGTCTGGCCCATCCTGATCACCAGCCCTCTGCCTCTCATCTCCACAGAGCCTGGCCCCTGGCTCCAGCCCCTCTCCCTACTGCCTAGGGAGGCATAATCCCTTCTTGGTAATGGTGTTTCTGAGATTAAGACTTGGTCCCCTACACACAAGCATGTGTCCATGCACGCATACATGTGCATGCACACACACACACAATTTCTCCATCTATCTTTCTGCCTCTCACTGACCCAGAGTTAGGATGTTTGTTTTTACATTTATCTTTGCCATTCACTTGCTATATGGCCTAAGGCAAGTCCCTTCCCCTTTCTGGACTTCAGTTTCCTCATCTACAGAGAGAGGATTTGTCCAGACAGGCTGTAGCACTTTCCTGTGCATCTGTAATTCACATGATGTTGCTGTTTTTCTGTTCTCTGTCTCGTTCACGCCCACTCCCACAAATGCACATAGAGATACAGAGAAATTACCTCACTGGGACCTACTCAGCCTTCCTGGCTGGCATCAGTCTTAAAGGTTACGCTTCTCTGAGTGCACAGTGATGAATCTATTGTTAGAAAACTTGTCTATGCCCTTTTTGAACTTAGTTTCATTTTAGTAATCAGCTCATTTTTTCACTTAGGGCATGTTTGCCCCTGGAGGGTCCGTGTAGCTTAGAAAAGAAAAGAGCACAAAGTTCAGAGGCCAAATGTTTTGGTCAAAGTCTGCTCTGGCCCAACTTGTTTTGTGACTTTATTAAATACAGACTTCAGTCTCTTTACCTGCAAAGCTCTGGGAGTTGAAGAGTATATGGCCATAACTGTAAGGGGCATCAGGTGACAGAGATTAGACTCTGCTCTTATCACCCCTTGGTGTACTTAGTAGTACACACAGAAGGGCATCCTATTCATTGTCCTAACCCTGCTCTCTCATGCTGACTCACAGGTGCCCCCTCTGTTATGGTAAACAAGCTGTGTCAACTCATCCACAGCCACACCGAGTGATAGCTCTGCCAGGGCCTCCAAACTGTTCCATTTTCAGAATTCTAATCTTAAAATCTGTCATCACCCCTCTCTGCTGCTCCCGTACCACTCTCTAAGCCAGCCTGCTTGCTTGCTATGGGAACTTGACTTGGTCCTAGTGGTCACAATTCTGGGGTGGACTGCGCAGCAGTGGGGGCCCTAGGGAGTTCCGGAGGTCCTTGGATGGCACAAGTGTTATACAGTTGGCTGCTAACCTAAAGGCTAGTGTTCAAACCCACCAGTGGCACTGTGCAAGAAAGGCCTGGCGATCTGCATCCAAAAAAATTACCGCCATGAAAATCCTACGGAGCAGTTCTGCTCTGTTACCACAGGGTTGCTGTGAGTTGGAACTGATGGCGATGGGCTTGGCTTTTGTTTTCCAGGGAGTTTCTGGGTGGTGGCAACTGAGGTCCCAGCCCAGACCTCAGTTTGTGGGCAGAGCTGTCTCAGGAATATTTTCCTCCTGAGGGTGTTTCAAGGGTCCTGTCATCATCTTCCCACCCTCTCATTCTCTCTTTATCTGCTCTCAGGGAAATCAACCTGAGGGAGAAGGAAGTCGCCCCTCAGCCTTTGGGGAATGCTGGGGACCTGGGGGAGAGGCACTGAGACAGCTGAAGTAGCACCCTAGGCTGGAAGGAAAGGCACCAAGGCCATTTGGCATGGTGTCTGGGACAGAGGTGATGGAGGGGGAGGGTTGGCTGGGGTGCCTGATTCCTGGAACTTCCAAGGTGTCCCCACAAGTTGGAGGGAAGAAAGGTCCCACCATAAAATAGTGAGGGAAAGGGAAGTGGCTCAGGGTCAGCTGCAGGAATGTGAGGAGGGTCTAGGAAACATGGCCCTGGGAGCTTGAAGGTTATGGGGTGCAGAGCAGGGCAGGGAGCCTGAGGCAACTTTCTTCCCCCCTTCTGCCCCCAGCACCTGCTGCTTGAGGAGATGGACGAGATGGGGAACTGGCCTCCAGAGTGAAACGAGTACTGGCTCCGAGTCCACCCTGCCCTGCAATGTGTCCCCCTCTTTTTAGGGAACATCCAAGGGGCCCTTAGGACCAGATGGTCTTAAGATGACCACTGTCCCTGTGTCTGCAGGGTGGGCCAGCCCAGCACTGCCCCGTCATCAGACCCAGGCCTGAAATGTTGGTAATAAAAACATAGTTTGCCTTTCGTGGCTCAGCTGTCTGTCTTTGGACCCCATCCTTTCATCCTCAGCCTCATCCAAGCCCAGTCTGTCCAGGGTCTCAGCCTAATCCCCATTCTGTGCCCAGGGGGCTGCCAGGGCCTGGTTGCAGAGTCCTGAGCTCTGGTGGGAGCACTGAGCATCAGAGCTGGGAGGACAGGAGGTAGGGTGGGCTTTACCTGGGGGTGGGGACTGCCTACCTCCACAGCATAGGGGAGGCCCTGTTGCCCACAGTCCCGCCCCTGTTAGGAGGAGCTTTCCTGACATCTCTCCCTCCCCAGGTTCCCAGGCCAGGCTTGTGGCCTCACTGGGAGGATCCCGGAATTCTCCAGCAGGAAGTTCCTGCCCAGCCAGCTCAGGGACAAAGCCAGGAAAGGAGCCCTAGGGCCATGGGGACCTGTTTCAGCTATTTAAGGTCCCTGACTCAGGAGGCCTGAACTGCAAAGACAGGCGAAGGGTCCCTGGGGTTGAGGCAGGAGGCATGGCTCTCAGACTGGGGCGTCCATCCCTTGCAGACCCATGGAGGGGGCAGGCTTGGTTTGGACACCAGGGGGCACTGTTCACCAGGCCTTCTTGGAGGGCCAATTTCTCTTCTGCCTGCGTGCAGACTCCGAGCTCCCCAGCATGTGTATGAAAGCAGACACTGCCCCCAACTCTTCTCAGTGCCACTGCTGTTTATGGAAGTTTGTCTGACATTCCCCACGGGGCCTCCACCATGTCTGTCTGTCATTGCAGTGTCTAGCCTGAGGGCAGTTGCAGAGCTGAAGTTCAATGTCGGAAAACGGGGGGGGGGCACTCTTAGTAATTAGTAGGATTAATAAGCAACAGCTCTTTGTTGGGTAGATGACCTCGTGGCCACATGCTTGGGGTGAGATGGGAAGCTGTACCTACCTAGACCCAGCCCAGTGAAGCTGGCAGCCCACCCCCCCCCCACCACCACCACCAAAGCTGGCTGTGGGTGGGTTGGTGGAAAGGGGAGGGCTTGGAGAAGCTAACGACTCATGGGTGGGGCTGAGGGCTTTCTCCTAGGCTTCTTGGCCAGAGTCAATGGAGTCCTTGACTCAGGCTGCGGGCTGGCAGAAAGGGCCATTGCACTGTCCCCGAGTCAGCCAGGAAGTGGCCTTGTGATCAGATGACTCACCTGTACTCTAACTGCCCTGCTAATCATTTCCTCCAACAGAGCAGGCTGGTGTGTGTGTGTGTGTGTGTGTATGTGTGTTGGGGGGTGTTCTGGTTACCTAGTGCCGCTCTGACAAGAAAATACCACAAATGGGATGGCCTTAACAGACAGGAGTTTATTCTTCCAATTTGGAGGCTTTAAGTCCAAGTTCAAAGTGCCAGGCTCTAGGGGCTGGGTGAAAGCCCTTTAACCCTGGGGTCCAGCTCTGCCTCCTGCTCCTGGCCCACTGGAGCTAGAGGCATTTCTTCACTCAGACAGCTGCTGGCTGCTGAGGCTGGAAGCCCCAAGGTTGACAAATAAAAAGGCACAGTCCCGATGTTACCAGACCACACGGCAGGCCATTAACTTAAGTCCATTGTAAGTCGCAAGGTCGGCAGAGCATAGCAGGCTGCTGAGCAATGACATGGCTACATGCAGGGTCCAAGCATGCCATAGGCTAGAGACTATTCTCAAAGCTTCTCTTACATACAGGAGGCAGACCACATGCCCAAAGGCAGGTACTCAGCCGCTCCCAGTAGATTCCACCGTGGAGTTGATTACCAGTCTCATCATAGGGAATACTACATCCAGCTGCCCAGTCACTCAACCAGGCCCAGCCAAGTTGACATACAAACATAACCATCACAGAAGGGGAGGTTGGAAGGTGGCCTGTGGGCTCTCTGGGTGCACCTGGACCCCCTGCCCCCATCCCATGTGGACATAGCACTCATTCTGTTCATGCGTCCCATGGAGAGAACACCTCTCCTTCTGACCAGGCCAAGGCTGGAGAGAGAATCCAGGTCCTGGGCACTACTATACAGACCAGCTGCTGCCCTCCACCATTGTCCTTTGGGTGGGGCCCACCTCCTGCACCTAGCTGGGCACAGGCAGGCACCACAGCAGGTAGAGGTAGGCTGGACCCACGGCTGGCAGCTCAGGCTCTTTGGCTTCTTTTGAGCAGAGTGATTACTCAAGCCATCTCAGCTCTCGGGCTATGGCCACCTCATTTCAGGGACAAGAGCATCTCATTCTTAGAGACCACAGGGAGGGGGCTGCTGAGCACTGAGCAGGGCAGAAACCTTGGTTCCAGTACCTGGCACCCCAGGCTAGTCCCTTCTGCCTCTGCTCCTCATTTTTCCTTTCTGTCAGGATCATGGTACCTCCAGTCCATTCCCAGGTTTCCTGTGACTACAGAGGAGAGTATCTGTGAGACTGGAAGGTGTGGAGGCTGGTCCTGTCGCTGTAGCAGGAAGGGGGATCTGCATGCACCACTGGTGTGAGGCCCTGTTCCTGGCCCCACAGGGCTCCCTGGGCTGGCCAGACACTCATGGGTGGGACAGGCAAGAGTGACACGGCCCAAGGACCTGCTATGGGGCTTAAAACGCCCCCAACAATCAGTCAGGTCTTCTGGTGAGACAGGTGTCCTTCCTGGAGAGAGAACTGGCTGGTCCACTGGCAGGCCTTGGGGGAGGGGAGCATGTCCTGTGTGCAGGTGATTGAGCTGTTGATGGGTGACAAGGAAAAACCTGTAGCTAAGTGCAGAGGGCGGGCCTCAGACTCAAGGCCAGCCTGGAAAGAGACCAGCCATGTCTGAAGTACTTCAAGGGAACAGCGCAGACAAGTCTATGGGTCAGACCTCAGGACCGGCTGTGTTTTAAAGCTACCGTGCCCTCTTGGATATACAGAAAGCCAGAGGAGGGATGCAGTGAACAGCCATGCAGGCTGAAGGACGAGAAGGGTCTAAAACCCAGTCGACTAGGCTAGGCTCATCAAGCTTTGCTCCCTGCCTGGGGTTATGTGCACCTGGAGGTTGGGAGGTTTTTCTAATTTGCTCAAAAGGGCCAATTAGGCTGGCAATGTCCCTAGTCAGGCCTATGGAGTTAAGATGGGCCTTTATGTCAGGACTTGCCAACTCTCTGTCACTCTCTGAGTTTTTCTCTTTACCCACATCCACTTCTGTCTGTCTCTGTCGGTACCTATGTATATTTTTATCTCTGACTCTCTCTTTCCCTGTGCTTCTCTCTACGTGTGTGGCTGTCTTTTTCTCACTGTATCCCTGGTAAGATATAGGCAAGAAAAGCAGCCCTCAGGTCCATCCTGAAGGTATTTTGGGGACTCACTAAGGGCTGAAAGGAAGGCAGTAGTTTAGGCCATCTGGGAGCCAGGGGAAGGCTGGGTGGCCCAAGGGAAATGTGGGCAGGGTCAAAGCTGGAAGCTATGGGATGCCCCTCCCTGGAGGTCTCTTAAGGATTAAATGATGTCCCCGCAAAATACGTGTTATGAATCCTAACCTCTATGCTTGTGCGTATAATCCCATTTGGGAATGGGTTTTCTTTGTTATGTTAATTAGGCAGGATTAGTGTAGGGTGTGTCTTGAGTCGATTTCTTCTGAGATATGAAAGAGATTAAACAAGTGAACAGAGTAGAGATGGGGTAAGACAGATGTCAAGATATGTGAAGATCTCCAAGGAGCAAGGAACCTGAAGAGACAATGACCTTCCTCCAAAGCTGACAGAAAATGTCTTCCCCTACAGCCAGGACTGTCAATTCAGACTTCTGTCCTCCTGAAAGGAGTTCTGGTGGCTTAATGCCTAACGCATTTGACTGCTAACCAGAAGGCTGGCGGTTCAAACCCACTAGCCACTTCTCGGAAAGAAGGTTGGGTAATCTATTGCCATAGTGATACCACCTCAGAAACCCAAGGAAGGGTTGCTATGAGTCGGATCTGACTTGGTGACAGTGTGTTGCATTGTTTGAGTTATCCTCCTAAAGTGTGAGAAAATAAATTTCTGTTTGTTAAAATTATCCATTTGTGGCATTTCTGTTATAGCAGCACTAGATAACTAAGAATTTGATACCAGAAGAGTGGGGTGCTGTTCTAACAGATACTTAAAATGTGGAAATAGTTTTGGAATTCGATAATGGGTAGAGGCTGGAAGAATTTTGGGTAATCTACCTCCACAGTGATATCGCCTTGGTAGTGCATTAGTAGTAAAAGCCCAGATTGCCTTGAAGAAACTATTGGTAGAATTATGGACAACCAAGGCAATTCTGGTGATAGTTCAAAATAAAGTTAGGAGACCTATCGAGAAAGTCTCTGTCATTTCAGAGAATACCTATGGCACCAGCAAAAGAATGTTGCTAGAAATATGGACATTAAATGTGCTTCTGGTGAGGCTTTAAAATAAAATGATGAACATGTAACTGGACAATGGGAGAAGGGCGATGCTTTTTATGCAGTGGCAAAGAACTTGTTTGAATTATGTGCAAATGTTTGGTGGAAGGTAGAACTTATAGATGATGAACTTGGATGTCTGGCTGATGAGATTTCTAACCAAAATCTTAAAGGGACCATGTGGTTTCTCCTTGCCACTCATAATAAAATGTGAGAGGAAAGAGATGGACTTAAAAATGAGGTATGCAAGCTGAAAACAGAACTCAAAGATTTGTAAAATTCTGTTGTACAAACTAAGGGCATGTGTCCTATAATGTTCACCAAGGACGTGGCTACATAATCTTTTGTTAAAGAGATTAGGCCTGTAGCTGATAGATCTAACCAACTACCACAACTGACAACCATTAGCTTAGACTGAAGGGGACAGAGAAAGAATCTGCCCCTTGGAATTCTATAGGA